CCCCCCCCCTTCCTGCATCCACCACCACCGCCACCATAAACAACATCGCCACCACCACTGTCACAACCATCGCCAACGGCAAGCACTGAAGACGCCCCCTACCTCTCACCCCCCCAAAAACCCTGCTGCCCCAGGTCGGCCGCGACAACCCGGCTGAGCTCAAGGCTGCCAAGCTGGCGCGCAGCCTCACGCGCGGCCTGGTGGACCGGGACCTCAAGCCCAACAGCGACGAGCGGCGCGCCATCGCGGCGGTGCTGCGGCTGCCGCCCAATCGGCCGCTGGCGGGGGAGGAGCGCGCGCTGCTCTGGCGGTACAGGTGGACACCCTGTTTTGGAGGGGGGCGCGAGTGGGGGGGGGGCACGTTTGACTGGTCAACGTGCAGTCTTGGCGGCGCTCATCCTCAGCTGTTTCGATTGCGAATCAGTTGGGCGTCCGAGCACGAACCGATGTTGACGAGGCGGGCGCCGCCGCCGCAAGGTCGGCGTCTGCTGAGCACATTCCTTCGCGGCCTCGCCGCGCCGCTCGCGCGGCCCTCGCCTCATCCCCCCAACGGGTCGCGGCCATCCCTGTGCTCCCAGTTCCCTCTCTTTGCTCCAACGTGGTCGCTCCCCGTGACGCCGTCCCCATGCCCGCGTGTGGTGGCCCGCAGGTACAGCCTGCGCGGGGACAAGCGCGCACTCACCAAGTTCCTCAAGTGCGTCGACTGGAGCGACGCATACGAGGCGCGACAGGTGACCGACTGCTGCTGCGGCGGCGCTTTTTCTTGAGGCGTGCCCTAGTTGCGGTCGTAAGGCAGCCTTTCCCGGCTCTGATTCAGCTATGGGTCTCAAGGTCATGCCGTTGCTTTGACCATGCGAAGGCCATAAGCGCCCTCCATGCAGTGTCCTGCCAAAACCTGCCCCAAACTCGCTGCGCGTCCCGACTCCGCGCTGCTCACGGCCCCCAATTCCACTGCACGCGCCTCGTCATCCTGCACTGCAGGCTGCGGAGTTGATGGCAGAATGGGCGCCGATTGAGGTGGCGGACGCACTAGAGCTGCTGTCCCCTGATTTCAAAAACGATGAGGTGTGTGTGCGCGAGGTGTTTCCAGTGGGTGGGGCTAGGCGTTGCAGGGGGCTAATCAGCACAACCACGGCCGCAGCGGCGGGGCAGGCTGTGGCCTTGTGCTTTTGCCCTGTGGCAGGGAGCACCACATTGCCAAATAGCAAAGCAACAAGCACCTGGTGCCGCCCCCGTCATCGGCTGCTGTCCCGGTCTAACGGCTCTACTCCCACAGCGCCCTGATCGTCTGGCGGCCTCTGGGAAGCGCATGGCACCCCGTTCTCACCCACGCGTCACGCCGCACGCACACACACACACACACACACACACACACACACACACACACACACACACATACACACACACACACACACACGCAATCTTGCGCACCCCCTCCCCCCAGGTGCGCTCCCACGCCGTCATGGTGCTCCAGGCGAAGGACGACGAGGAGCTGCTCTACTACCTGCTGCAGCTGGTGCAGGTGACGCGTGCCTGGGGACTGGGGCCTGGGGCACGGGCCTGCATCCCCTGGGGCCTCGCGCATGGGGTCGACCCGGGCTGTGCATTGCAGGGCGGACGCGTGCTGCGCGCGGCTGGTCGACAATCTCGCGTAATTCGCGCGCGATGCCGGACGGACAATCGAGGCATGCGTCCTCGCATTTGTTGTTTGTTGTGCGCTCACGTGGGTGCACTTGCGCCGGGGGTCCAGGACGCCGACCGCAGACTTGGATCCTGTATAGCAAGCACGGCTCATTCACCTCCTACATATATCAGTGCATGCTGAAAATACTGACTTTGCGACCTGCAGCCTTGCCTGAAATCTTCTCTCCGCGGCCCCGCTGCGCTCACCCCAAATGCCTCACGGCCAGGCGCTGCGTTTCGAGGCGGTGGACCTGTCGCGGCTGGCGCGGTTCCTCATCGGCCGCGCCACCTCCAACCCCGCCTTCGCCACATTCCTTCACTGGTGCAGACCCGCGCTGCGCGCGGCCCGTGCCCTGCCCGGCCTTGCGCCTGGCGCCCCACAGGCACAACCTGGTCCCATCGCGCGGGCGCCTCTTTCTCAGCCTGCCAGCCCAATCGGCCGTGTCGCAACAGGACCGATGAATGCCGGAAGGGCGCCGCCGCAGGGCCTGAGGGCGTGGTTTTGCTCTTGGCTTTGTCTCCGGGCCTGCAAAAACCACTCTCTAGCTGATTTTGTTGGTGACATGCAAGCGTTTTTGCCCAAAGTTGAACTCCCAGACTAGGTGGTAGGCTCTCAACCTGTGTGGCTCTCAGCCCGTCCCGCCGCCCGCCGCAGGTACCTCTTCACGGAGTGGGAGGACCCCTCCTTTGGTGCGCGCGCCTCCTGCGTCCACGCGGCGCTGGTGGACGCGCTGACGGGCGCGCCGCGCGGCGAGGCGGTGTGGGAGGCCATCCGGCGGCAGACCGACATGGTGTCTCAGCTGGCCTACATTGTCAAGGACATTAAGGTATGTTTGTGTGTGGGGTAGGGGTTGACCAGGCAATCTTTGTCGACCGCGTCACCCTGGGATTGACCAAGTCACAGGGCAGGATTTGAGTAACAACGAGGATACGCAATGTTTTGAATGTATTCAGTGTGTGACTTAGGCCGTGATTGGTTTGGGCTTGGATCATGGGAGTTTGGTTCCTGTCATTAGGTGCCACAAGCACGCAAGAGCTGGGTGTGGTGCAGGGGAGGCTCTCAGCGGTGAAGGGTCGTTGCCATCTCCTCACCGTTTTACGACCTCAGGACACCCGGGCCCCTCACCACAGGCCTCCACGCCACCACCCCCATCCGCCACCCGCCACCGGGCCCCTGCCCCAACCCCACACACACACACGTGACCCTGCAGATGTCGCGCCTGAAGGCCGCCCGCGCCACCGACCGGCTGCGGGAGATGCTCTCCGCCGACGGCCCCTGCGAGGAGCTCACCGCCGCGCGCGTCCCGCTGCCGCTCAACCCCAGCCTGCTGCTCGAGGGGCTCGTCCCCTCAGAGTGCGCCTGCTTCAAGAGCGCGCAGCTGCCCGTGAAGCTGGCATACAGGGTGGCCCCGAGCCCGATCGACTGGGAGGCGCCCGCACCGCTCGCGCCGCAGCGGCCGCCCGCGGGCAGCGGCCTGCACGGCAGCAGCAGCAGCAGCGGCGCGCTCGGCGACCTTTCGGGGTCAGCGGCGTTCCCCGGCGCCGCGGCGGCCGCCGGCGCGGTCGCCCCGGGGGCGACGCTCGGCGCCGCGGCACCGGCGGGGGCGCCTGCGGCGGCCGCGCTGCACCGGCTGCCGCCGCAGTGCCGCACGGCGCTGACGGTCGGCGGCGGCGGCGCTCTGCGGTGCGTGATGATCTACAAGAAGGGCGACGACCTGCGGCAGGATCAGTTTGTGCTGCAGGTAGGGGGGCGCCTGCGGGTGGGGAAGGGGGACGGTCCCTGTGGTACGGGAGTTCTTTTTCTCGATTTCCTGAGCTCGACGCGACGCTCTTTGTCAGACGGCAATCAGACCCTCCCTGCAACGTGCCCGGACCCCTTCTTCAAACTCTTGTCGGCCCCACCACGCCAGATGCTGAGCCTGATGGACCGCCTGCTCAAGCGAGAGAACCTCGACCTGCGCCTCACGCCCTACAGGCAGGGCCGGACGACCACAGCCCGTGGACTGGGCCTCACCCTTGCGTCAAGGGTTGGCTGTGGGGCGGGCGCTATAACAGCCCTCGCGCGCGCAGTGGGCTACGTCATTCCACTATGCTTAGGCATCCGCGTTCCCACCTCGAGCTCCTTGAAGCAACGCTGCATGATTTGCTCCGTTAAGCGCATTCTGACCTTTGCGCGTTCCCAACCCTCTGCCCATGCTCTCTTTGCCGCTCCGACCTCCCCCAGGGTGCTCCCCACGGGCAGCGACGACGGCCTGGTGGAGTTTGTGCCCAGCGTGCCCCTGAGCGCCCTGCTGGCAGAGCACCGCAGCATCCACCGCTTCCTGCTGGCCAGCGGGCAGGGCGACCCCCAGGGTGGGTTTCGTTGGTACATGTCACAAACAGGGGCCTGGTCGCCTGACGGGCGGATCCATGGGCCATAGGCACTGCATGGAGCGGCCGCAGTCTCACTGCTTCTCTGAAGGCCTTGGAACGGCCGTTCTGCCCTTTGCGCCTCAGACCACATTCCCCCAGGCAGACAGACCGCCTCATCACACCTGTCCCCGGGTCCCCCTGCCCAGGCCCGTTTGGCGTGCGGGCGGACGCCCTTGAGACGTTTGTGCGCAGCTGTGCGGGGTACTGCGTCATGACCTACATCCTGGGGGTCGGGGACCGCCACCTCGACAACCTCATGCTCGCGCCCGACGGCCGCCTCTTCCACATCGACTTTGGTGCGTGCCGTGGGACGAACCCGCCCGTACCGACGGCGAGGGCACGGATGGGCTTGGGCTTGAGCTGCAGTTGCTGCGCTTGCGTCGGCTGTGACCGGCGCACGGTAGCCACCTGAAGCTCGGGCGCACGGCGTCGATGCTTTCAAATCCGATCCTACACATCTGGATGGCTTTAAGCCGGCGACCGCAGGATTCTGCAACACTTTCAGGTCCTGCTGGTTGCCGGGCATGCAAGCTTGCACCTGCTGTTAGCTGCACGGCCGCCGCCGCCGCCGCTCATGCTGCCCCGGTCCGTTCATTCCATGCCCAGGCTACATCCTCGGGAGCGACCCCAAGCCCTTCCCCCCGCCCATGAAGCTCTGCAAGGAGATGATAGAGGCAATGGGCGGTGCGGACAGCGGCCTCTACGTGCGCTTCCGCATGCTGGCGTGTGAGGCCTACAACATATTGCGCAAGAGCGCCGACCTCATCCTGAGCCTGTTCCACCTCATGGCCGGAGCAAGCATCGAGGCAATCCGGTCCAACCCCGAAAACGCCATGCTCAAACTTCAGGTGCGTCGGAACAGCGCCCGAATCCAGATTTGTGCTGTGTTGTGTGAAATATTACATGTCGAGGCACGTCACCGACGATGTTTTGCAGTGTGACAAGGCATGTGTATGGGCGGGTAGGCGTTCATCCATGTGTGCTTGTGCATGTGCATGCACTTTCGTATGCGATTTTTGCACTTGGCACAGGCACTGTATAATTGGCTACAATGTGGTATTGACTTGCAGCCGCGCGGCCTAGCTGGCAGCAAGCAACCCCGCCAATTGAGCGGCTGCATCATGCTGACCTTGAGGTGTGTGCATGCCTGTTGAGGACTGCGACAGGTGTGTTGCTGAACAGGTGCGTGTGAGAGGGCCCTTGGCAGACGCTCAACTTGCCCCCCTTGCCCACACGCGCGCGCGCGCGCGCACACACACACACACACACACACACACACACACACACACACACACACACACACACACACACACACACACACTCACTCTCTCTCACACACACACACATACATACATACATACATACATACATACATACATACATACATACATACATACATACATACATACATACATACATACATACATACATACATACATACATACATACATACATACATACATACATACATACATACACACTCACTCACTTTCACTCACCCCCACACACACACACACACACACACACACACACACATCCACATCCACACGCCTGTAACACTGCTAATGTCAAACGTACATCCCCGCCCAGGCGCAAAAAGGGTGTTTTGTGTTTGCAATGCAGCCAACGAACACACTCAGCATCCTGGGGTTTGGCTGAGTAGACTGCTGGCTGCACCAGCCTCACGACAGACACGACCTGCACCCACTCCCCATCCCGGCGCGTACAGGAGAAGCTGCGGCTGGACTTTGACGACGGCCAGGCTGTTGAGTGGATGCAGCAGCTCATCAATGAGAGCGCCACAGCTATGATGCCCCAGATCATGGAGACCACACACCGATGGGCGCAGTACTGGCGCTGACGAGGCAACATACGAGGGGGCCCCGCCGTGTGGCGCCGCATCTGCATTGCAACCCACCCCTGGCCCCAATCATGACTGCCTAGGCCTTGACACAATGGCTGAGCACGCTTTGATTGATTGCCCTGCACACTAGGATCTCCGTCCCAACTCGTTCTTTGCGCCCTTGTTTGGCAAATCTGTCCGCACACGCCCGCACGTGCGCCTGTGTGCGCACAATGCGCTCGCCTGACCAAGCTGGCGCCGCATGATAGCGAGCCGGCGCCCAAGCTCCAGGCATGCGCGTTCGCGTAGAGGCCGGATGGCCTCGGTGGATGACGACTGATGCTTGCTCTGCAACTTCTGGCGTAGTCTGCGTGTGCGCCATTGAGGGCCCTTGATCTAAAGAACTATCCATGAGCCTGGATGGCTTCACCAGAAGCGGGTGGCCGTGCAGGGCCTTCAGCACTCCTATCTTAGCCTTTGTGCGCGGTCCAGACCGGCACGCACTTGGGGCAACCTTGCACACCTGCTTTGAACGGCACATGTTGACCACCTCTATCGCAGTCAGACAGCATTGATGCTGCAAAGTCCAATACCATGAGCCTAGATGCTCCAGAAGCAGGCGACCGCGGGACGCTGTAATACTAATCCTGATCATTCTTGCAATTTCCATGATTCAAGCTCATGTTATGAGGCCAGTCGCAGGCAGATGAATAGACACGCGGCAAGGCTGCGGACCCCAACAAACCGCCATCGCCAGAAATGCTAGAAACCGCAGCCCATTTTCCGAGCCTCAAAGGTGTTTGGGGTAGCTCTACTAGCGGGGATTTGGTTTTTTTGTATACATTGGCTTGGTGGCATACACACCATCAGGCGCCGTATGCAGCACGCAAGCCTCAAGCCCCTTTGAGGCCGCGCACGCATTAGGGGCTGCCGCCGGTGCTTGCGACACCCGAGCAACCACCCCGCCGCCACACCATTGCAGCTCAAACCCAGACAAGCTTAAGGCCGCACAGCGGCGCCGCTGGTGGTGGCAGCAGCAGCAGCAATGACAGGGACACGTACCAGCCTCCACAGAAGCATGGACGGGCAGTGGCGCTGGTCATGTCCTCCCCCGGTCACCGCCGGCCTCGCGTGGCACACATGGCGGGGCCTCCGCGGCCGGAGCAGCAGTTCTAAGTGGCCGAGGTGCATAGGCGGCTCGTGCGCTTGGGCACGGCGTCTCAGCCGGGCTAGCTCGGACTGGCCATCGATGATTGGTGATCCTGCTTTTACCTATCCTTTCTCTCCTTCCCTCTTTTCTTGCTTGTTGCATGGTGGTTGGCTGGGTGGCATGTATGGCATGTGTAGTGGGCTGTGATCGTGCGCCGATGCGATTCACAAACCATGGGGCTATTGAGCACCAGGCTAGGTGTTGCTTCCACTCCCAACCGCAGTTTGTGCTCGCTTTCTATCCTGTATTCACAAACATCGTGTGACTGTATTCACAGGAAAAAAAGGTGCTGGCGCCGGCCGGGGAATCACGAGGGGCTCGCGCCGGCAAGCTGAGGGGCGTGAGACTAGGTGCTATGCCAGTCCGCGCGCACCGCATGCTCCACGCCGTCGATGACGTCATCGATGACGTCAGCCGCTGCAAACTGCGGCGACGCCGCGTCTGGGGCGGGCTCGGGCGGCCGCATCTGCGCAGGTAGGTGCCGTCAGTCTCTCAAGTGACTTCACATGTAAAAAAAATGCTGTCCCGTCACCTGCCGCCGGCAGCGCAGGCGCCACGCCGCCTCCAGGACCGCAAGGCGCAGGTGCGCCCACAGCTTCCCAGAATTTTGCTTTGCGATTGTTACAGAATATCAGACTTAGAGCTTGTGGCGAGTCACCGAGAGCAAGGGTGCAAGCTAGCTCTGTGTGGCCACATGGTGCACGCAGTTGCTGTACTTTCAGGTCCTTTTACTTTCATGTGCTCTGACATGTGCTCACTCCTCGGTCTTGCATTCTCGCGCGTTCTTTTTTTATAGACTGACGAAACCTGCGCAGATAGATGCGGCCGCCCGAGCCCGCCCCAGACACGGCGTCGCCGCCAGCGCGTGGTGTGACCACAAGCTGGCAGCCGGAGCGAGGCCCCCAGCCCCTCAAGGAGAGAGAGAGAGAGAGAGAGAGAGAGAGAGAGAGAGAGAGAGAGAGAGAGAGAGA